TGCGCAAATATGCTGCAGAAAAATCATTCACAGTGGTTAAAAGAACAAGGAGAGACGTCACCTTGAGGACCCAAGCCATGGTGTCCTCATTCATCTCCGTGCCCACAAAAGGTAAGACAATGCATGAAGAGGACTGAAGCAGAGCTGACACATATGAATTATGGTGGTGGATAGACATCTTGAATATACATGCTGCCAGAAGGAACAAATCCATCCTGGAAGAAGTAGTCAGAGAGTGCTCCTTGGAAGCAACAAATGGCAAATCTGTCTTACATACTTGGGCATGTTATCAGGAAAGACCAGTCCTTGGAGAAGGACATTATGTTTGGTAATGTAGAGAGTCAGCCCAAAAGAGAGGAAGACTTAATAGAATGGATTGACACAATGACTGCAGTGTTTGTAAGAATGGTACTGATAGGACAGTGTGTCATTCTGTTGTACTTGGGGTCTGTGAGTCCGAACGAACTTGACATCACCTACAACAGTAGGTAGCACTTATCTAGCAACAAAGGCTCACACAGAGAGGAAACAACACCGGAAGCACCTAAAGGCTTTTCCTCCTGGGCAACTTACCATATCTGAAGGATACTTTTACTCCAGAGATACATCTGACCTGTTAGTTAGATTGATTAAGTCATTCTGAAAAGAGAATGTTATGCATTTTATCAGAAAAGCTTTCATGACATCACTGTCATATGAATCAGTATACAAGGGGCCTTCAAAAAGTTGTGAAAAAATAAATAGAAAAATACAGCATTCTGCCGTAAACCTCCTATTGCTCTCCCCTTCTAATTCTCATAAATTAATAGTCCTTATCCCCCATTATTTATTAGGAAAAAAGACTCAAACATAAAGAAAAACTGAAAGAATAGAACCCTGCCACCTAGATTCAGCAATGTTGATGTATATCCTTCAGTCTATAGTTAAAATTTAGAACAGCACATTTTCTATGTATTTTGCAACAGTTAATAATCACCCACTTCCTGGAAGATACTTCTTATGTCTCCCCAGTTGATTCCAACTCACAGCCACCTGAAAGGACTGTGGCACCGCCCCCACTGGATTTCCTAGTCTGTAACCTCTTGGGAGCAGATTGGAAGGCTTCTTTTTTTCCACAAATCCACTGGATGGGGTTCAAAGTGCCCACTAACCAAAGGTTAGCAGTCAAGTCCTTGACCACTGAGCTACCAGGGTTCCTCTCAAAACAGATACACCATAAATATTTTCCAAGTGAGAAAACACTAATACCTGTAGCTTCAGGTAGTTCTAGGAAATATATAAAAGATATTCTGACTGTATAGAAGAGATTTACCATATATGCTCGAGTATAAGCCAAGTTTTTCAGCACATTTTTAATGCAGATTTTGTGATAAAATTAGGTGCCTCGGAGGATATTCGGGTTGGCTTCTACTCAAGTATATATGGTAACTTCTTTTGATTCGGTTTCATTCAGTATTTATTGAGAGTCTATATGTGCCATTTGCTGGGCAGGATGAACACAATTTGATCTTGCCTTCCAAGAGCTCACCATCTACAGAGAGAGACAGATGTGTAAACAAATCCATGGTCTTGCAATGTGACTGAGGAGAGCCACTGGCTCTTTAGAAAAGTCATGCTCTCACAAAGGGGCTGGTTAGAGAGTAGGATAATAGAAGATTTTAAAGCAGAAAGGTGATACTTGATTTATTTTTAAGAAGAGAATTCTGCCGCAATGTGGAGAGTGGGGCTGAGAGTAAGGGGTTAAAGGCCAGACTCTCAGCTTGCTTATCATCATGAGTACCAGCTTTCATCCAGTCAATTCCAACTCATGGCAGCGCCAAGGGTGCCAGGGTAACAAAGCCACCGATAGGGGGTTTCAGTCGCTGATTTTCTCGAAGTAGATTCCCCATCCTTTTTTTCAAAGTAGCTTTGGGTGTACTTTCAACCTTTTGGTTAGCACCACATAGGAACACCTTCATAAGAGTAGATCCATTCATGTAAAGGATTTTTATTGACAGAATACTGGGTACCATACTGCAGGTGAGATAAAAAAGATATTGACCCCTACTATTATTGAACTTTAAATCTCAAACAGTCCATTTCTGCTTAAGGTTCTGCTAACGAGGTTTCTTGTATTCCGTTCCCTTTCATTCTTCTCCTTCACTGTTCTGTCCATTTTCTACTGTGTAATTCCATGGAAGTGGTGTCCATTGCCCCTCAAATCAGAGGAGAACACAAAGTTTCTCTACAGTTGGAAATGAAGAAAGAAACTTTGTCTTTTTGTGTGTGTGTCTTTATCTCAAACACAATAAAAGAGCCAATATTCATCTGAAATGCATATTGTAGAGACATTCAACAATTCAGTCACTGTGCTATGTAGAAAATAAAATTAACAAGGCTAGATAACCTGTAGGATATATGGTGAGTTTGAGACAAAATGAAGGAAGAAAAAGTACTCTAAGGTCTCCTGGTGGCAGGTACCCAAAGGGCTGGTGATGTCATCAGCTGAAGCAAGATTTGAGGTTGGGGTAGAAAGGAAAGAGATGAAGAGAAGAGATAATAATAAATTCTTTCCTGACATGCTGAGCTGGAGATCTCTATTAGTAGTTAATGTGGCTCTTAATCTTCAAAATCGTTTATAAACTGGTTGAACTTTCGTTCAAGGAGTTTGAACTCTACAAGAATTGTTGCAATGCTGAGAAATAGTTTGGGTTATACTATTAGCTAAAATGTTTGATGTTTGGAAATTCTTTATTCAGACCTGCTTCCCTAAATAGATACTATTTGAGATTTATATCTTTGTATGTATTCAAGTTGATACATGCAGCATCAAATGAACAATGAGTAACAACAAATACCTTCTTTGTATATTTAGTTAGAGAATTTAAAAGGACATAAAATGGGAGTAGGTAGAGATACACAAAAGAAAAAAACTGAGCCAGAAAAATAAAATAGATATCATGCAAAGAATTTTAAAGCTCATTAGATGGTATGATGTTGGGGACAGGGGGGTGTTTTCTTTTTCTGACTGTGAGCTAAGTATATACTTTCATCTAGAATTATATTTTAAATTTTGAAGAGTTGCTTATGTTCAGATTTGATAGCCTAAATTAGTCTTACAATAATGCAAGAGTTTTAAATCCAAATTTCACAGGGTAAAAATAAACATGTATCCCTCTCTTGCCTTTTTATGGCTATTTTCTTTAATTATATTGCACAGAGCATGAATGCTTTATAAGATGCTATTGTTATAACAGTTCTAAGTTTGTCAAATCCCTAGAGTGAATTATACCTTATTTTTTGTCTGACCCAGAATTTTAAAACATACAGCTGTGCAGTATTTTGTCAACCAAATACATTTTTAAGGAAAAAGTAATATCATGCAAAATATTTTCTTTGCCATGTCTTCAGCAAGCAGAGAAGGGTTTTTCTGCAGTACGATCAGACAATAGAGCCAAGTTAATTTTTTATGCACGTGAACAGAGAGGGCTTGAGGTTATTAGTTGAAACCGAGTAACCTTTCCAGGCTTTCATCTCTTTCTTTTCAAATTTGAATATGAAAAGCATATTCAAGTCAAAGACCATCACTTTAATGACATTTGGCAGTCATTTGATTTATTAAGTTTTAGAAAAAAATTTCCTTTAAATATTTCATCATACTATGCTAATCCTAGTAATATTGCCAGCTGCAGCCTTGTACCTGTATTAGTGGAGACAGAATGGCACGGAATTTTCTCTGTCATCCTAGTAAAATTTCCATGAATCTCCTGAATAATAAAATAGCCTTATTGAAATATTCAGATTTGGGTTTTTAGGTAAAGTATCTTAGAATACATAATAAAAGAAAATGTGTTTTGAAAGAAGGGAGTAAAATTACTTCATCAAATATTGAGGGAGTTTGACAGCAATGGAAATTATTCTTTAAGGAAATATTTCTATAATAAATACTTAAGCTTTTAAATTTTATTGATTATGTCATATGCTTTTAAAAGCTACGTAATTACTCTGGTTAATTTTCACATAGATTTTTATTTAACAATGAATTTCTAAAATCTAGTCATATAAACAGATTTTCTTTTTCTTTTTTTTTCTAGTTCCTGTTTGAAGTTATAGAAGTCATAGTAGTGTGCCTCTGGATTTAGAAAGAGGGATCTTGACAATAAATAACAACTTTAAAATTATAATTAAAAGCAGAGATAACTGAAAGACATATTGGAGAGATCTAATTTCTAAATCACATTCTATTAAGTATTTGAAATAATTATGCAGGGAAACATTTGTGACTACCTTAATAATATCTATGACATAAAAATCTAAAGGATTAAAGTAAAAAGTAAAGCAAAGATATCTGTTTTAGTTAGTCTATGAATGCAAAGTAGACTATACAGTGCCAGAAAATCGATGGTGTCAAGTTAGATACGAAGTTGTTTTTCTCTTGTGTTTGAAAACATTACTAATTGAATGAAATATGGCAGAATATATGAGAAAATTAACTGCAGTTTCTGTTCTAGGTTATATGGATAGATATATAATAGTTAGAAAGGATTCAACAGGCTTCAGTGTCGGAATAAGTAAAACTTGCTCAGGTACTATAGATTAAGTAAAGGCAGCGATAAACATGTACTTCATTACATAGTTTGAAACAAAGCCAACTGATACTTGTCATTCTGAAAGCAATCAGAGATGAAGATCTCATATTCTTCACTCCGGTAGATACTAGTGGGGTATTTATAGCCTCAAATGTAAATCAAGAGACTATTGCCATGACACTGGTAACTTCAAACCCTGGGGCATTCGAATCTCATTTTCTCCTCTCTGTCGTGAATAATCTATCATGTGTAGCTATCCAGTAGTGTACAATGGTTTCTGAAAAAGAAACCCATTGGCCTTCATGCTGTATGTAAAACTGATGGTAAAAGAACAAAATATTTAGTTTGGGTTTTCTGGTTTGGGGTGGTGGTGATTTGTTTTGTTTTGTGAGGAAAGGTTAATTTTTGTTGTTTGTTTTTTTCTTTAAACAGACCTCAGAAAAAATTCGTATTGAGATTATAGCTCTCAGCCTTAAAGATTCTCGCGTAACCAAAGATGACACTATTCAACGGCTATTTGTTGAGTGTCGATTCTACAGCCTTCCTGCCGAAGAGACACCTGTGTCACTTCCCAAACCCAAGAGTGGGCAGTGGGTCTACTACAACTACAGCAATGGTATGTTTGCTTCATTTGTAATACAGACTTTTTCCCTCTGAAGGAGGTTGAAAGAATAAGAAATTTTTTTCTTTAGTGTTCACATAGACTCATTCATGGGATTCTTATTGTCAGAATAGATTAATAAGCTTCAAATCTTTGCACCAGCTTAGCAAAACGGATTTCAAGTATTTACTAAAGTTAAGAGAAAAGAATAACTTTGAGAAGGCAGTGTTTCTACATATTTCTGTTATATGATGGTACCAGTTGAAAATACCACCTGGCCTGTAATTAAATGAGTAGAAAATATATTTCAAGGTAAAAAAGTAACTAGCTTTTGCTGATTGAAATGACAGTATTTTTCCCTCTCATTTTCTGATCAATGTCTTGTCATCAGATTTGTCTATTTACAAATATGTATGTATCTGTCTTAAGAAGCCCTAGGGTTAAAGTGGGTTAGGTGTGGGTCAGCTGTTCAAACCCACCAGCCACTGAAAGGATGAAAGATAAGATTGTCTGTTTCTTGGAACCCGATAAGTTAGAATAGATTCAATGGAGTGAGTTTGGTTTTAGTGAGTATACAAGGGGGTACCCTCAAAAAAACTGGAATTTCCCCTCCCGCCCCAAAGCTATATATTTAATTTTTTTTACAAGACAACCTTATCACTTCAAAATCCTCTCCATTATTACACTTAATATATTTGTCAAATCTGCAATTCCATTCTTGGAAACATTTTTCAAACTCATCTGTTTGGATGGCTGACAGCACCTCCCTGGTTGTTTTCTTCACCTCTTCAACATTGACAGACTGCTGTCCTTTTGTGTCCCTCTTCATTCTCAAAAACAAAAAAAGTCACACAGAGCGAGGTCAGATGAGTAAGGTGTGTGGGGCAAGAGAGGCATATTGGTTTTTTTTAACCAAAAACCTGCGCACTGAGATGGCTGCGTGAGCAGGTGCATTGTCGTGGTGGCAAACCCAGTCCCCCATCTGCCACAAATCAGGCTGCCTTTGTCACAAACAGTTACACTATCTTTTCAGAAATTCTAAATAGAAAGCTTGATTAACAGTCTAACCTGGTAGAACAAACTCCAAAAGCACTATCACCCCTCACATCAAAAAACAGATGAGCATCATCTTGATCTTGTAATTCATTGGACAAGATTTGGGGGGGGGGGGTTAGGTGACGATGGCATCTTCCACTGGCTTAATTGATGTTGGCTTTCGGGTTCGTAAGAGTAGCACCATGTCTCATCACCAGTCTCATCACCTTGGAAAAAAAGTCTGGGTCACTTCAGAGCTGTTGTTTCAAAGCTTGGCATGTTTCCAGTCAAGGCTCTTTTTGCTGGTCAGTCAGACCTGAGGCACAAATTTCGCAGCGACCCTTCTCATTCCCAAATCTCCCATTAAAAGTCACTGAACCAAGCTCCAAGATAGTCCAGATGACTTCCCCATCTCTTCAATGGTCCACCGTCAGTCTTGGAGCACAAGTGCATGAATTTTGTCAACATTTTTTTTCCATTTGGGAAGTTGACAAACATCCAGTATGAGGTTTGTCATCAATCAACATTTTTCTTTATTTGAAACAAGAAAATGACTCGTACACTCGAGTTTTTCCCATAGTGCTATCCTTGTAAGCTGTGTTCAGCATCACAACAGTTTCTGTGGCAATTTTCACAAGAAGGAAACAAAATTTCACAGCTGTACACTGTTCTCTTAAATTGGCCATCACCCCCCCCAAAAAAATTAGGTTCAAGTGAAACTACTTTTATGAAAAAATTCACTGTGACCAAAGAGAACCTCCCCAGGTGATGCCACTGGATGTACTAACTCAGAACGAGTTGTTTAATGCACACCTAGCAGGAAAAATGCGGACTATGAAAGCTTCGTCCAGTGGAGCTATTTTCTGGTTTTGGGGGCGTACCCACTCATATACTTCTAGCATTTACGATGTTTATGATTTTAACTGAGTGAGGTATAAATTTCATTTAAAGCCTTTTTATAATTTAGCCCACACATCTATTCATCAGCAAGATTTTATCTTTTAAGGTGTTGATCTACTAGCCTATTGACAAGTAACTACTTGACCAATACGGAACCAGTAGACCTTGTAAATTCTTTGATCAATTAACTCTAAAGAATCTTTAGGAATAGTATGTGCTCATCACTGTATGATTAGAAGAAAAAAAATTGATCACATGATCCTAAGTTAAACCTATTTAAGTCTTCTTAAAGCTTCATATTAGAAAAACCAGAAAGACGGAGTATTGTATTTTCTTTATTGAAAGAAGTCCATTCATGCTAATTAAACACTAGTTTCTCACCAACATTATAGATTGCATTATAATCAGCATGTACAACCATGCTACTATACCAGCAGTTATAAATGTTTGTGGTTGCCTTTTTCTTGGCAGCTGGCATTTTTAGAAATAAGAGTGTTGCTCCAGATGCAATCTTGAATATCCAGAGATCTAGTTTTGTTTTCCCTATTCCCGGGATTCTTACTAGTTGTGTGAACTTTGACAAATTTCATGGCTCCCATAATTCTTACCTGTAAAGTGAAGTGCGCTATAAGATCTCTTCTAACTAAGATTCTGCAGTAGCAGGTAGGTTGGGGAATCACATGAAAAGTAGATACTATGGTTCTGAGAAGAACTGGCTTCTTTCTTCCTTTTACTCACTTGATAGAAATATTCTCAAAACTATTTTTCTTAAGCTTGCTAAAATTCCCAGCTACAAAGTACCAGGAAAGTAAAACATCAAAATAGTATTAATAATTAAAAGTTGCTTAGTCAACTAATGTTAATGAATAAACCATAAGAAAAGACAGAGAAAGTCTTTGGGGTTTTGCACGATTCTTCCTAAAGATCCACGGTAAAACATTTGGTTGAATTGGCAACAAAATTGTTTTTAATTTTTTAGAAATTGATTGTACAATGAGGAACTTGGCAATATAGCAGAACAGATGTTTCTATTTGTTTAAAAAGAAGTGCAAATAGTTCTTTGGAATCAAACCTGTGATACATGATCAAGCCCTGATTTTTGTTCATTCTCAGATGGTTCTGTCTAGATTTGTTTGGGGTGGGGTAGTGGAGAGGGTGTTGTTAATTGGTTGGGGGTTTGCTTCTATGTTTTTGTTTCCCCTTAGTAAAGGTACCAATAATCTCGGGCATTTTAAAAGTTGCTTGCTTCTAAAACATTCTAATACATCTTTGAGAAATGAATTCAGTAGAAGTGTTTACTATAGCTTTCTTCAAGTTCTTAGACTCAACTTATACTTACTGAGATTTGACTATGTAAAATTTTCAGGGTTAATTGAAAATAAATTATGGAAGTAAAAAGGAATGTACATTGTACTTAGAAGCCAAGTGTTAATGTTTGAAATTTTTGACAACCTGTTTCTTAGCAATTTGTAAAATGTTAATCTGTGGAAAGTCTTACTATTTTATTTTTTTACTTAAAGTATAAAACCCCAAATCAAACCCATTGGCATCGAGTCAATTCTGACTCAGAGCCACCCTATAAGACAGCATAGAACTCTCCATAGCTCACTAGTTACAGATCCCACTTAAAAATTGGGTAAAGAAATACCTCTCACTATACCAAGGCTATAAATCAGGACAAAAACAGATTTCCATATCTTTCTCCTGCAGAGCGACTGGAGTTTGCAAACTGCAGACCTTTTGGATATCAGGCAAAAGCTTTAGCATTGCAACACAAGTGCTCCACCTTAAAGAATGACACAATGAAAATGTGTATTTGGAAATATATCTCTTTCTTTGTAGGGACATCTTGAATCTGTAGTTAATAAGATTCTCATCTAAATATTGCAGTGGCGTACTATTCACTGGTTACATGGTATAGAAGGTCAAGATAATATAGCCTTACATTTTCCAAATCTCATTAAAAGTTAATGAAAGTAACTTGATTTCCAAACTGACCTCTTAATTCCAATAGAAGTATTTAAAAACAATTTACTCTATGTTCTTTGCTGTTTGAACACCAGACTGGTAGAGAGGTTAACTTGAGCCAGCAATGATTTTACACTGCATTATTACTTGAATCGATAGAAAAGGTACTTATTTATATGCTGCAACCTAAATTGGGTACATTTATGAGGGGTTTAGTTGGGTGATCCCCAAGATCATTCAGTTCAATTCAGTCTTTATCAATAGATATTAATACCAGTTTCACCTACATACAAAATATTTTTTATATATGTACATATTCTTATATAGCATATGTACATATATACTCAGAGCCTACTATCAGTGAAAAAAACTAAAGTTGAATTCAGTTGCTAGACATTGGTAGCAAACACAAAACATATTTTATTGGGTTTGAAAATATTGCTCAGAGAATGCTGAGAAAGCAAGAAAATAGTTTGGGGAAAAATAAGATTAATGATAGGTCTGAAGAATCTTGTCTGGGCTGAATAAAGCCTTCTAGGGAATTGACAATGGGGAGAAAAAAGATTAATGAAATCGTCCAAAGTTTTTATGAGACAGACACAGATCTGGACCCTTCATCTCTGAAGATTAAGCAGTCTGTTGCTTGGAACAATCAAAGCTTAATTCAGATGATAAAAAAGATCTAGAACTTCACACGTCGTTACTAATGGGAGGGAAATTTTGGCAAAAATAAGGATTACAAGGATGATAGCACTCCCAAGGATTCCTCCCATCTCCAATGGCAAGGAGTATACCTTTAATTATAAACAGCTCCAACTCAACTCAAGAATGCACCTATTGGGTTGCATTCTTTTTGAGACCTATGTCTTAAGTTTATATAGAAAATCTAGCAAATCCTAAAAGATGACTTCTGATCAGTTCTGATAATTTTCAGAATCACTTTTAAAATATACATTTGAAGTTTTGAAATCGCAGTGTGTGAACTTCTAATGCTGAATGTCCGCAAGATCATGACTTAATTAGAGCTAGCCCAAGCTGTCTATTTCCTACAGTACTTAATGGACAACACAAAAATGCTCACTAGTTTCTGATCCCATCTGAACAGTAGGTAAAGAAATACCTCTCAGTGATTCTCAGTATGTGGTAACCTGGCTGGCCACATCAGAATCTGAGAACATGCTAGAAATGCAATTTCTTAGGCCCTTTCCCAGACCTACTAAATCAGAAATTGGGGGTCAGGATTGGGGTGGAGCTCACTAGTTCTATTTTAACAAAGCTCCAGAGGCTACTGATGCCCATTGAAGACTAAAAACCATTGAGCAGGTAGATTGAGATCTAGCCTTCTTTATGCAAACCAGAGAACCTAACTTCCATTCCTGTACTTTAGAAAATGAAGTTTATTAGTAGGTACTTTTGAGTGTTTTTCAAAAAGAACTTGTAAAACGTTTTAAGCCCACAGCCCAACTTTCAGCGAAAGACAGGTAGACAATATAAGGTAGACAACATGAGGGAAGTATGTGTGTCTCAGGACAGCCAACCATAGGAAAACCTGGGCCAAAGGATAGCATTTGCCTAGGAATAAAGCTCAGTAGGCAGGAAAGGATGAATGGAAACATTAAGCACAGCGAAGTGTGCTGTTACATTGTGGGGATTGCAATCAGTGTTGCAAATAAAATTATGTATGATCTGGTAGATGGTAAACCAATTTGCAATGTAAACTTTCACCCAAATCAAACAAAAAGCTTTTTTTTTTAAAAAAGAAAAATATAAAAAGTTTTCAGTCAAGGGAGTTGGTTTCAAGCATTTAACGATGTATGTAAGCAATGCCTCTTTTTGAAAGAGTAAAAGGAAAACGAGGTGGTTTCCATTGATACACATATAGTATGGGAAAATTTCTCAAACTCCATACATCTTGTTCTAACAAAGTGCAGCTTAAACAGCAAGAAAAGTTTGGCCTCGTAATTAAGGAGGATGGATTATAGCATGGAGGTTAAGAAGGGCAGGCTCTGGAGGGAGACAGTGGGATTTAATTCTGGTTCTACCACTTTCCTAATAGATGACCTTGGGCAAATTACCTACCTTTTCTGAGCCTGTTTCATCATCTGTAAAATGTGGGTCAGCGTGGATTTTAACCCATGTGATTGCATTGATAATAGTGCCTGCTATAGACACATCACTTAGCTGATGGTGGCTGCCACTACTTCTATATTTGTAAAGAGAATAACAAATACAATCTACAAGCCAACTGTATGAAGTAGAAGGTATCTCCAACCGAACTGATTTTTTTAAAAAGATTAATGATAATGATGTTTGAAAGAATAAAAAAACACAGAAATTCATCAAAACTGGTCTAGGTTTAATTTGATACTGTTCTTTCGGACTCACAGGGTTTGTTTTTAAGCAGTCACTGAGATCACTTGTTGTCTTCAAAGGACATCTTGAATCGTTAAAAATTAGCAAAAACAAAAAATGTCCATTTGAAAAAAATTTTCCACTTAGCTCAGTGTACTTGTATCCACTGATTAATGAAGAACTATCTCTTGGCAGTTGTGGAATTCATCTATTAGCATGGCTTTTTAGTACTGTTAAGTGAAATACTATATTTACAAAATATTGTGAACATTTTGTGCTGGTCTGTTCATCTGGATAATTAGATACATTTACTATTGCAGTGGTATGCAACAGTAAAACGGAAGTCACCATTTGAGTTGGTTATCCAGAGCATCTTCAGTGATGTCTCCTTCATATTGTCTTCTCTTAACCACTACCCTACCCATACAGAGACACTTCTGTGTCTCCACTCCATGTGCCTAAATCAGTGCTGAGCACTTCTTTGTCACTCGTTAATATTTGCTGATCAGAGTCAAACAATTAAGTAAATTGATAGCATCGTAATTTGAAATTGTCTAGGGAAATTTTCTTGATGTAGCGTATGTTTGTCCTGGGGTTGGGGTGGGTAGCCTGAGGAGGCTGACATTATGCTTGTCCCAATACCTTTCGTCCTCTGTGTACTTTCGATTAAGGATAATCTCTAAATTGAGATCTGATCCAGGAATATTGGATCAATTGCCCACCTTAGTATTTCAGCTAAGTGAAGTCTGGCCACAGTCACACGTGCCAATGTGTATCTTTAAAAATCAAATGTGTCCTAAAGAACCTTTCTGCCCTTTCTTCCATATTTCCCTCCCATACCCCCACCCTAAAGCCAGCAAACGTCAGCCTGTGGATTTCCTTAGCCCAGCACACCAGATGCCTCTCTTATTGCATGTTGTGGCAGGAGAGAAGGATGAAATTACAGAGACTGTCAGGAAGGACAAGCAGGGTGCCATATATTATCATTATCACTTGTTCCTTGGGTGAAAGAAACTATAGTAACTCCCTCAAACACAAAGCAATAAAGACAGCTGGCTTTAACCATCGTGACTGCCAGTGCCATTAACAGGCAGTGACAGCAGTGTGGCACTCTTAGATGGTGCTTCTATCTTTCTTGACAGTGTGTGCATAAACCTGCCGGTGATATGACATCAGATCACATGACTATTCAGATTTGCTTCTGCTTTCCAGAGGTGCTTTCTTTTCCTAGGCATACAAGTGAGTTGGCATGACTTGCATCTTTGGAAACAGGTATTTATAAAAATACAGAGTGGTACTACTGTGAACATATGCCTGAGTGCCTGCCTTTTGTGGATTTTTTTCCCTATTATCTAGTGATCTACGTGGATAAAGAAAACAACCAAGCCAAGAGAGAAGTCCTAAAAGCTGTGTTACAAAAACAAGAGATGCCTAATAAAAGGTACATTTTAAGTATTCTAAAGTATGTGGTAGTTGGTATAAAGCAAGTTTTTCTCAGTAGCCTGATATGGTGAAACAGAACAAGATAAGGAATCAGGACACCTGGGTTCTGACTCACTCTGCGACCGTGAATGATATATGACCTCTCTCTGTCTTTCCTCCCAGAAATGTAGTGGTCCTGCCTGACACACAGTAACTGTGAGCATACTACTGTGCTTCAAAAACCAAAACAGTATACAGTATCTATAAAGTATCATTCAAATGTAACTAAAGAGTATAGCAATGGTTGAAAGGGGTGTGCACTCTGGAGTCAGCTGGCTTGAGTACAAATTATTGTCCCATCACTCACTAGCTATGTGACCTTAAACAAATTACTTAACCTTTTTGTGCCTGATTTTCTCCATCTGTGAGATGGAGATGATAATACTATATAAAGTTGTTGTGGATTAAATGGTATATATCAGGCGTCCTCCAACTACGGCCCGTGGGCTACATGTGGCCCACCGAGGTCATTTATCCAGCCTGCCGGGTGTTTTTGCCCCATTTGTTTCTTCACTTCAAAATAGGATATGTATAATGTGCATAGGAATTTGTTCTAGTTTTTTTTTTTCATTTTGTTGGGGGCTCGTGCAATTCTTATAACAATCCATACATCCATTGTGTCAAGCACATATGTACATTTGTTGCCATCATCATTCTCAAAACATTTGCCTTCTACTTGAGCCCTTAATATCGGCTGCTCATTTCCCCCCTCCCCCTTCCCTCATGAACCCTTCATAATTCATAAATTATCATTATTTTGTCATATGTTACACTGTCCGACATCTCCCCCTGCCCTCTTCTCTGCTGTCCATCCCCCAGGGAGGAGGCTATGCGTAGAGTTTTGTAATCAGTTCCCCCTTTCTACCCCACATCCCTTCCACCCTCCAGGCATCGCCACTCTCACCACTGGTCCTGAAGGAGTCATCTGTCCTGGATTCCCTGTGTTTCCAGTTGCCATCTGTACCAATGTACATCCTCTGGTCTAGCCACATTTGTAAGGTAGAATTGGGATCATGATAGTGGGAGGGAGGAAGCATTTAAGAACTAGAGGAAAGTTATATGTTTCATTGTTGCTATCCTACACCCTGACTGGCTCATCTCCTCCCCACAACCCTTCAGTAAGGGGGTGTCCTGTTGCCTACCGATGGGCTTTGAGTCTCTACTCTGCACTCACCCACATTTACAATGATAGGATTTTTTGTTCTTTGAAATCGAACTGGATTTCTCCAACATCCATTGGTTGGCTCTCACCTGGGAGGACCTTTTTCTGTCCATGGCCTCTTTTCTTGGACTTTGTGGTCCCTAACACCTTTAGGTGCCTCCAAAATGGACCTTTAGCTTCTGTCTCAAGAAAGGACTGGCATTCTTAGCTCTTGGGACCCTATAGTATCTTTTTAGTTAACTCTTTGAAAGGTGTATATCGCCTTTTTTGTATCTCAGTTTTTACCTTCTGGAGAAGGGGTGTTGAATGTCAGCTGTCACAAAGTTGACCCCAGCACATAGAGCCCCAGGCAATAATGAAATGAAATGCTGCCTGGGGTTACACTATCCCCATGATTGGTTGTGGTCAGAACTTTGTGATTCATGGGACTTTTGTTTTAAGGTTTGTGTTTTTAAAATTATATTGATATACATGAAAAAAGCTTATAATATTTTATCATTTTTCATGTACACATTAGTGACATAGATTACATTCTTCAAGTTGTACAACTATTTTGGCTGTCTTTAAAAAATGTCCTTACTACCTTTAACATACATTAAATATAGTCTAAGAAAAACAAACAAAAAACCCACTCATCCACTTCTTCCTGCCTTTGGGTGACATCAGTGTTCATCCTTTTGCAACTGATTTGTTTTATCCTGTGTAATGTGTTCAAGGTTCAAGGCATTGTGTCAATTCCTAGCCTTGTTTTTGGCAGATGTATTCAGTGCAGTATGAGCTTCTTTCTTCAGCACCATGGTTCTTGCTCATATTCTACCTTCTGAAATGGTGATATGTCGACTAGTTCTTTTTGGTACAATGACTGTATTCTTTCCATCTTCTCTTGATGTGTCCAGCATCATGCAATATTTTGCCCATAGAATCTTTCAAGATTGCAACTGGGAGCTTGGGTGTTTTTTTCCTTGAATTCTTTCAGTTTCAGATATGCTGAGCATGTACTTCCCTTTTGGTTTTCTAATTTCAGGTCTTTGTGGATTTCGTTATAATATTGGCTTTGTTTTCTCAAGCTGCCCTTTGACATGTTCTGTCCTGCTCTTTGACATCATCCTTTCTGCCATTTGCTTTAGCTACTCTATGATTAAGAGCTAGTTTCAGTCTCTTCTAATATCCACTTTGATAATTTCTTTCTTACCTGCCATTTTAATGACCATTTTCTTTCTTTTTAAAATTTTTAATAAATAATTTTATTGGGGGCTCATACAATTCTTATCACAATCCTTACATACATCCATTGTGTCAAGCACACTTGTACATTTGTTGCCATCCTCATTCTCAAAACATTTGCTTTCTACTTGAGCCCTTGGTATTAGCTCCTCATTTTCCCCCTTCCTGCCTGCCCCCACCCCATGAACCCTTGATAATTTATAGATTATTATTATTTTGTCATGTCTTACACTGA